GTGTGTGTGTGTGTGTGTGTGTGTGTGTGTGTGTGTGTGTGTGTGTGGCAGAGGCTCATGTTCAGTCATGCAGGACAAAGCAATCTCTGGCTCGCTGACAAGTTCTCATGTTCCAATAAATCCTTTCTTCATCTCATTCATTGTGTTTTTTCTTTCTCTGTCATCCGTGGTTTCATTATTCCCTTTCTTTTATGTGTTCCTCCTTTCCGACCTTAAGTCTTTCTCCCTCCATCTGGTTGAAGAGTCCTTTGCACAATCTTTGGCCAAATTATGGTTTCAATATTTTATGCTTTAGTTGATTAAACTGATACTTTCTGTGATAGAAGATGAAAACGACATGTAAAAAGTTTTGGTTTTGAGGAAACTGCAACTTCTTTGTTCTATGCTGATGTAAAATTCTTCTTCAGGCTGCTGCTGTAAATGAGAACATGCTCTAAAGTCACCTTGCCTTTAAGTAAATTGTGACAGAAAGAAAAGAAGGAAGTCTGTTAGAGTTTCTGTCCCTCCCGTGCAAATGTTTACTTTCTGCTCCGGCTTACAAAGTAAATTAACACGAGGCTTTGATCAGATTTGCAGTGTGCGGAACGTTTTTTTTAAATTGCATCATCCCTGCATACTCGCTTCTCAGTGGTTTTCTCTTGAAATGGGCCAAGTCTGATTTCACACATGGTTGAACATCATGACTGCTTAGATTTTAGATTGGAAATGCAATTTGGTGAGTCGTGTATCATTTACTGAGGCATAAAGACAAGCCGCTTCGATCTCTGCTGGCAGCGTTTAAACGTGGAGAAAAGTCTCTCCATTTGTTACACTTTTGTAACAACTTCCTTTAAGTCAATCACGGAGCTTTGATTGATATTTGTATGGAGTGTGGCTGATTTCTAATTAGGATATCAACAATATAAAGCACTTCTATTATCAGCTAATTGAATTTGTATTATTCCAAGCACTGCCGTTGGAGCTATTTTACATTCATCCAGCATTTGCGTGAACTGGTATTAGCGAGAACACACAAAAGAATATGCATATATATATATATATTTTTTTTTTTAAATTATTATTATTATTTATTTACAGCTCATCACTAATTAGGACAATCAAAAGTATTCTTTTAGTTATACAGCCAGCACATCACAGCAGGGGATGATCTGTTAGTATGCAAATGATGCCTAATTAGTTTCCAAGCAGCCCTCGCCGAAATCTGACAATAGAAGCATCCACCTGCTGAAATGAACAAAGAGGTTTATTGTGAACAATGAATTGACAGCAACAAAAAGTACATTTTGCGATGTGCAAATTATGGAAACATTAATGGGGTGCGGACTGTGTTTCTTTGTCATTTTCAGGTTGAGCCATATCTGCCTTATGAGTACACCTGTGAGGGGATGCTGGAGAGAGTACATGCCTACATACAGAATCAGGTGAGGTTCAGTCCACGTCGAGACAAATGTACAAAGAGCGCTGAAAAACACACACGCACATATGCAGAGATCCTCTCTTTTACACGCTAGTTCTCCCTCTCTCTCATACATACACTCTTTTCACCAGCTCTCAAACTCCCCACTCTGCTCAATACTTCATCAGTGTGTGCATTCAACACCCAGAACATTGTGTAGGTCTGCTTCACTGTGTGTGTGTGTGTGTGTGTGTGTGTGTGTGTGTGTGTGTGTGTGT